CCCGCAGAGCGCTTCCCGTGGCCAAACGGAAATGCAGAATCCACCAGAACCGCTGGGCAGCCACGGTTCTGCTCGTGGGCCTGTGGGAAGCACCGGAAAATGCGGACCACGACAGTTGACAGTGGGGCCGGATAGGACGCCCCTTTCACCCACTAGCAGGCCATCACCAGGGCCTTTATGCACCCCTCACCCCCCCTGCCCATCGCCAAGGAGCCCCGGTGGTTTAGTGGTTAGGCTTTGGGCCGTGATCCCTAAGGGCTGCACCTTGGGAGAGAGATGGGGCTTTCCTTACTCCCAGAAAAAGTGCCACTCCCAGGGGGCAGTTCTATCCCACCCTGTCGGGTGGTCTGTGTTGGCAGCTACCTGAGGCAGTGCGTTTGTTGAGTTGATTTCATCCCCACTGCCCTGCGGCGTTTGGGGCCATTTCATTCCAACCCATACTCATTGAACCTCAAACCGGTGGTAGAGTTGGAAAGACAGACGACCAGACAAGGGCGGTGAAGTCTTGAGGACCAGGCAGTTGGGAGTCGGATATGAAACAAGGCTCCGGCGCTGGCAGGAACCGCCTGGTGCCGCCAAGGGGAGGCAGGGAGCTGGGAGGAGATGTGGAACATCGAGGGAGTAGCAAAATCCAGATAGTTCTGGTGTTGTGTGCCCAAGACCGGGTTCGGCCTTGAGGTGACTCTGGAGGGCAGAGTAGGACCCCCCCTATAGAATTTCCTAGGCCGTCATCCTCAGGGGAGCAAAATCACTCGTCATTCTCTAGGAGCTGTTGGATGGATTGGAACCACTGACCTGTTGGTTAGCAGCTGCACCCCCATGGCCCCCTCCCATAAAGCTGAGAGAACGTCGCACTGTGGTGCAGTGCTGACTCTGTCTTGTAAGAGTAGCTATGAGTCAGAATTGTAGGGCCACACGACCATCCTTACGGGGTCTTTCTCACAAGGTCTTTCTCCCTGGGAACAGCTGGTGGGTTCAAACCGCCGACCTTTTGCGTTAGCAGCTGAGCGCTTAATCATTGCATCTCAGGGTTGCTTTTGTTTCCTGCAGGATTTGACAAAGGCGTGTGTGAAGTTAGAAGGGCCTCTGTCCCTTGTAAAATCCTTAGCCTTTAGACAGGACCAAACCCAACCCAAATTCAGGGACATGAAGCTCGTTCCAACGGACAGCAGCCCGCTAGGACAGAAAAGTGCCCATTGGTTTTTCGGAGGGTCTCAGTCTTTACAGGAGCAGACAGCCTCATCTTTCTGGTGGATTCATGCAGGACTTGTAAACTGTTTCATGTCCCGGTGGCGGAGGCTGTTCAGGACAGTGCCATGATGAATTAGTAAGGGCTGCCATGGGAAGGGAGCCGGGTAGTCCGTGGGTTAGGAGCTGGGGCTGGTAACTGCAAGGTCAGCATTCCTAACCCCTAGCCACTCCGAGGGCGGGAGGTGAAGCTCTTTCATCCCATAAAGAGCTACAGCCTTGGAAACTCACAGGGGCATGTCTACCCTGTCCTATAGGGTCCCTAATTGGGAGCATTGGCTTGCCTGAAGTATGTTTGGTGTTTTGGCCTGTGGGAGAGGTGGAAGGGGGAAGTGGTAGAAGTCTCACCACTTACGCATCCATTCTTCCACGGACTTCCCTTATTCCGTGTCCAACTTTCACACACGGGAAGCGATTGAAAAAGACCCTGGCTTGGGTCAGGTGCACCTTAATCCTTAAAGGAACATCCTTGCTTTTCAGTACTCTAAAGAGGTGCCGCACGCCCACTTACCTAATGCAATGCAACTTTTGATCTCTGGAGTGCTGCGTCCATGCACATTGACTGTGGAGCCCACGCAAGACCGCATCCTTGGCACCGTTGGCTCTTGCGTGAGGTAGCTATGGGTCCCAATCAACTTGGCTGCCCCCAGTAGCAGCAACACATGCCTGAAGACTTGATTGGGCTGGAGAAACAAGAATGTGATTCATGGCTTAGGTTTCTGGCTTGGGATGCTCATTGGTTCTGGCCCCATTAATGAGCTCAGGAAAATGGGGGAAATACGGGGAGAGAGGAAGGTGTGTAGGGGGAGAGGAGCAGGGATGCCCTATGCAGTTCCAACTTTATGCTCTAGGGCAGAGGTGCCCAGCTTCTGGATTTGGTGAGACATGGCCACTAGCCGCTTCTGGAGAGCGCTTAGGAAATCCACATTGCCGAACCTGTTAGCTACGCATACGAATGTGTTTATCCTACCTGGTCATTTGCCCATGAGTTCGGCTGGATGTGGAATTCGTGGCTGGAAGTCGTGAGCATGTTGACAGCCTGGCTTCCTGGTGGCTTCTTTGCCATGACAGCCGCCAGGGTCAAAGAGAACATCCGCAGTGTTGTGGGGAGAAGCCCCAGCCGAGCTGCTCCTTTGGTTCTTTAAAAGAAAACACTCAGAAAGCCGGTAGACTCGTCTCTTCTTCCCCGGTGAGGTGACGCTGCACAAAGATAAGCCGTGCTGCGAGTCCATTCTCACTCATTGGCTGGGCAGCTGGTGGGCCCCGGAGCTCAGGTCTTTCCACTTGGGAACAATTTCACGGTTTCCTTTGTTGTTGATTTCCCCTCTCCTGTTTTCTCCACCTTCTCTATCTCCAGCTCACGATTCGGATGTTGTGCCCAGGTGCCGACCCTCCAGTGCCCTCAACTTTGAGCCCTCTGATTTCTACAACTCGAGCTTCTGACGCTTCTGAGGAATAGCTCTCAACTTTCAAAGTCTTCTACTGAGTTTTCAGTTCTTTCAGAGTTCGGTTTGATACTCCCGCCTCCTTTTTAAAAACTTGCCTTTTGAAATAGAGATTTACCAGAAGTCGCTAAAACAGTTTAGAGAGGTGCTATGGACTCTTTCCCCACCCCGATAAAGTTCTCTTGCATCACTCTCAGACTCAGAAACTCACTGCTACAGTCGATTCCAACTCATAGCGACCCAGTAAGGCAAGGTAGAACTGCATTCCCTTTGAGATTCCAAAACTCAGTTTTCACAGGAGTAGAAAGCTTCGTCTTTCTCCCTCGGTGGGTTTGAACTGCAGACCTGGAGGCTAGCAGCCCAAAGACTAACTCACTGCACCATTGCGGCTCCTTTATGTAACTATAGTACCAGATTAAACCAGGATGTTGGTATTTGGACAGGGTGTGTGTGTCATTGTCTGTGTAGTCTTCTGCTACGTTTTCATGTGTGTAGATGTGCATAGCCACCTGTACTACAATCAAGATACAGAGCTGTCTGAGCACTGCAAAGATCTCCCCGTTCTGGCCATACCCACAGTCCTGGGTCCCCAACCCGCCACCCACTAATGTGTCTCTAGCTCTTCAATTGCGTCACTTCAAGAATGTTGTATAAGTCATACCGTAGGCAGCCATCCGAGATGGGCCTTTTTCATTCAGTGTTATGCCGTTGGCGCTACATCCAATTACATGTATCAGTCAGTCATTCCTTCTGATGGCTGGGTCACAGTGTGCAGTGAGCCTCCACGACAGTTTCTTTCAGCGTGCACCTCATGAGGGCATTCTGGTTGTCCCCGTTCGGGCGCAGTTAGTAAGACTGTGCCTTTTGTGTGCAGGTGTTTGTGGAGCACTAGAATCGTCACTTCTCTGGAATAGGTGTCTAGGAGGACGGTGGCTACGTTGTGCGATGACGTGCGTGTTTAGCTTTTGAAACGATTTTATTTTCTGCCACACTCTTTTCCAGAATGGCTGGGCCATTTCACAGCCCGCCAGCAGTAGAGGAGGGATCCAGGTTTTGTATCTCCTTGGCAACATTTGGTGCTGTCACTGTTTTGTGTTTTAGCTGCTTTAATAGGTATGTAGTGATATTTCATCGCAGTCTTCATTTGTATTTCCCTAACGGGTAGTGGTACTAAACATCTTTCCACGTGCTCGTTTGCCATCTGTATATCCTCTGTGGTGAAATCTATCTTGTGCCTGTTTTCTAATTGGATTGTTCAGTGTTTTCACTGTTGGGGCTTCGAGAGCTCTTTCTATATCTTATACGTGAGTCCTTTGTCATGCATGTGGCTTTGCAGATACTTTCTCCAACTCTGTAGCTTGTCTCATCATTCTTTTAACAGTATCTTTTATAGCACCTTTAAAGTTTAATTTCCAAAAATATTTAATATTTTTGTAACATCTTTAGTGAGATACAATTTCTGTACCATAAACCCATTCAGTTGAGACACTCAGTTCAGTGACTTTAGTACATTTATGGGGCTGCAGCCATCATTACAGTCCTCTTTCGACCATTTACATCCCCCCCCCAAAAGAAATCCCATACTCCTTAGCTGTTACCTCCCAAGCCCACCCACCCACTACCGCAACTCAAAGGACAGGGTAGAGCTGCCCCTGTGAGTTTCCGAGACTAACAATCCATGAGAGAAGAAAGCCGCGTTTGTGTTTTTTCCCACAGAGCTGCCTGGTGGTTTTGAACTGCTGACCTTGTGGCTAGCAGCCCAACTCGTAACCATTATACCACCAGGACTCTGTACCTTCTCCCTAGCAACCGGGAATCCTCTCTCCATCTCTGCATTTGCTGGTTCTTATATTTCATACCATTGGGATCAGGCAATGTGAGTCTGGCTTCCTTGACTCAGAGTAACGTTGTCAGGGTTCATCTTTGTTGTGTTACGTGTTCGAACTTCATTTCTTGTTATTGCTCCATTGTATGGAGAGACTGCATACACTTCATTAGGCCTTTCACCAAGTGATGGACA